GTTTCTAACCCTGTTATACTCTTCTAGCCAGGCCTCTTCCTCACAAGCAGCCATCCATTTCTCAACCTTCTCAAGTATTTCTTTCCTGCTAAAAGCTTCCTCCTTGACACATGAAATCCGGGCTTCAATCCGCTCCAGGATTAAAGAAAGGTCAACAGCACCTGCAACAGAAAATCAAGCTGTTAGTTTGTATGCAAATTTACATAATATTTGGGGTTTTTTAGCACACAACTCTTATGTTATTACATATTTCACACCTAAACATTAATATTTACATATATAGCACTTTGGTGTTTTAAACTTATGCATGAAAATGTGTATTTCTCTTTTACAAAATGACAATAGTGTTATTTTTGATGTGATATTAAAGATTTGAGTGTTGTGTGTGTAAAATATGAAAGTTTAGGTGTGAAATATGTAAAATTACACAAGAATTGTGTGCTAGTTTGTATTGGATGGAAATAAAATAGAAAAGTTGATATAATGCAATTATCATATACCAGATTCACATACATAGCGCACCTTGGTGTTTTAAATTTATCCATGAAAATGTATATTTCACTTTTACAAAATGACAATAGTGTTATTTTTGATGTGATATTAAAGATTCGAGTATTGTGTGTGTAAAATATGAAAGTTTAGGTGTGAAATATGTAAAAATACATAAGAATTGTGTGCTAGTTTGTAATGGATGGAAAAATAATAGAAAAGTTGATATATTGCAGTTATCGTATACCAGATTCAATGACTTCAACCGAGATTTCCACCTCCTTTTCACCTTCTTCGATCAAATGAGTTCTACGTCGCAGCTCGTCTAGTTCAGCCTTCTTCCTCAAAACAAGCTCTTTCATCTTGCTTCCTTTAAGATTTTCAAGTCTAACAACTTCTTCCTCTACCTGAATCACAAGAACAAATTCTTTCATTTAAAAAAAAAAGTACTACCATCAAAAGAATAAACTATCTCCAAAAGGTGTCAACTCACATAGTTGAGAAAGTCAGCTGAGAGAGTGTTCGGTTCTGTAATTTCATGTTCTGAAGCAGCAACATTGCATGTTATATTCTGAAATAATTGTTGCTCTTCCAATGGCGTGTCCATTAGATTCCAAAGCTCCAACATATTGGCTGCAAGATCTTGAAGCTGTTACAGCCCAAAGAGAGTCAATGAAGATCTCAACTAAATTCCTTCAATACTGATATTTTTATTTATTTATTTTAGAAAGTTGAGCCTTAATAGCAACCAAGTTAGAAATTAATAATTAGAATGTGCTTCAAACTTGAGTCTTCTAATTGGAGAGAAGAATCTCTACTAACTCCTCGACAAGCCTTGCACTCAGTATTAATCTTACTTGCCTTTTGCATTCTTTGTAACTTAACTTCCCTCAGGTTTTGTATGAGAGAAGCCAGCTTTTCAATCATCTCGTCGCTAACATTTTTTGGCCCTTCATCATCATCCAAGCACGGGTGCACATCTATAATGGTCTGCTCGAAATCTATACCAAGAACTAAGCATAATGAATTTAAGGTACTTAAACGTTCCAATACAAGCTTCAGCCGATCAGCCTGCAAAATTAAACAGTCAGAGAAGCTTGTTATATTATGAAGGGCTGAAGATATGTGGTTTGAGGCATTACGTACATTACAGTTCTTATGTATTTACACATTTCTCACAACTAAACTTTTATATTTTGCACACATCGCACTCAAATCTTTAATATCTCATAAGAGAATAGTACTATAATCACTTTTTAAAATTGAAATACACATTTTCAGGCACACATAACACTCGAATCTTTAAGTTCAAAGCACCAAAGTGCTATGCAAGTAAATATGAAAGTTTAGGCGTAAGATATGTAAATACATAAGAATTGTGTCCTTTGTTGTAAATTTCCCTTTTTTTTCATTTTAATAGAAGCTAAGAGCAGACCTTCTCCTTTATTAGAGCCTCTAACTGTCTCTGAAATTCTTCAAGCTTTCTTGTGGATAGATCAGATTCATCAACAATCATTTCGTGTTGAGATTGCCCATTAGGCCAAATTTCACTTGAGATTTTCCTTATTTGCTCCATGATTTGAAGGAACTGACTCAATCTCTCATTCTTCCTCTTTCGCATCTCTTCTAATTGCGGTGTGATAGCCTTCAACTCTTCCTTCAAACTTAATGCATTTTGATTGGACTGCACAGAGTGGATCAACAACAAGAAATGTAAAAAAAAAAAAGAGGGGAATTTACATAAATACCACTCCATTCGTACAAATTGACATATTTAACACCTAAATTTTGATTTTTACAATTATAGAGCCCAAATCTTTAATATCACATAAAAAATACCACCATTTTAACTTCAAAAAAATAAAATACATCTTTTCATGCATGGGTAAGGTGGCATACATGTAAAATTTGATATTTAGGTGTTAGATATGCAAATACAACAAGATTGAGTGGTAAGTTGTAAATCTTCCAAAAAACTTGATAAAAAATGCATGTACGGGACCTTAAAACATGGATTTTTAACTCATATGTCCATTCCATTCCACCTTGGTTAAACATTTAGGAAGAAAAAAAAAAGCTGCATATGATTTACATAAATCTTCCATTACTCGTTCCAAAGGGAGTTGGAAATAAAAATAAGAGAATTTTAGTGGATATTATTAGAGAACAAACTTGTTACAAACCTTGAGAAGAACTGGTCTCTCACCCAATGCAGAACAAATTGCAGCAAGCTTAGCTTCCACATCAGCTATCTCTTGACGCAAATAGGCCCTCGAATGGTTTGCTTGATCAACCTTTCTTCTATATAGCTCCAAGCACTCTTGTTCTAGTTCAAGAATCAATTTGTCTCTATCAGAGTCGGATTCTCCAACTTCGTCCCATATAATCTGAATTTCATGCCATTAAGGACCTTTCAACATCAAAAATTACATTTTTGAGTAGCATTAAGGTTCTGAGAGCATTGCTTAGCGAGATTTACAAACATACCCCACACAATTCTTATGCATAACACTCACATAAAGAAAAACACCATCACTATTTTTTTTAAAAGTGAGATACACCTTTTCATGTATAGGTCAATGACACCAAGGTGTTAGAAGTGAAAATAGCAAATTTTGGGAGTTAAATATGCAAATATATTATAATTTTGTGGTATGTGTTTAAATTTCACTTTTGTTTACCAGCTATAAATGACATCGTAATGAGTTTTAATCGACAAAAACATGAACCATCAAAGTAGCGGGTTTAACGCGGAACAAGATGAATAAGAAAGTATGAAATGTTTCACATAATGTAAAGAACGCATGTTTAAATTTACTTGAAGCTCATATAGAAGAGATCCACAGGTTGTTTCGATCTGAGAAAGCTGGTCATTATGAGATATGGCCATCTGGAGTTAAAACCGTCACACTCCGCAGAGTTTCCCTGCAAAATTTAGCAATGGTAAGAAAACTTATATCTCATTTGTTTTTTACATTTTCTTCAGTTTACATCACAAACTCAGCATTTCTGCTATAATAAGTTGCCTGGTTTACAGCTAATAAGATTAATTTGGCTGCACAGCAACTCATGAATGTAGACTCCATAGATTCATAAAAAACTCTCTCATCTTTAGGCATTAGATATGATTTAAGTAATGTTATGTAGTGTACATTGTACAACATTTTATCTGCTCTAAACATGGAGGAAAACTATGTATAACAGCACTGGTAAATTGTGAAGCAAAAAATTTACTTATAAGCATCCTACACCTTACATGTTTTTGAACATATTTGCATACAAGTAGCTCTATTTTCTGCCCATTGGTCCATTACATACTAAAAGTTTAGCAGCTTAAGTAGTGTGAAGGATCAGCATTTCAAATAGAGCATAACATCGGATCCCAATGTGTGTTAAATACTCATTAAAAATTAGGAAGATTTACATACATACCACCCAATTCCTATGTATTTACATATTTAACACTTACCTCAAATTATATATATAT